CAACAAAGCTGCAACAAAATCCCTTTCTTTTTGTTTAGAGAGCCCAGGGTGGTGTCTATGTGTTTTCTGTCGTCTATTTCAATTTCAGCCAACTTTCTCCTTAAGGGCCCTAGGAGTGGTAACTGTTTCTTTTGAAACTGAGCAGACCCCTTGTAAATCCTCCAATAGACTTGTTCTGCCAGTGCCACAGTTTTTCTGCAGGCGGGCCCTTTGTCCACACTTAGGTCAATCTTTGATTCTAGCTGTGCCATAGATAACAGTGTTACATGTGTTGCAGCAATCATACATTACAATTTGATACATAGTCAATAAGCTAAGTCTTCTACACTTCGATCTTTAGCTAGCCTAGCAGCAAAGATAGGGTAACCAGATTTTCAAAATCAAAAAATGAGACACCCCAGTTTGGGGTAGTTGGTAATAATAAAATTGTGGAATGAGTGCGTAATTAAGGAAAATTGTTCTGCACTTGGTCCATTCATAACGAACACGTGAGTCAGTATAGTCACATTTTCTTCATGTTTTGGTCATTTTTAAGCAACTTCTCTGTATTTTACCTGAACAAGTGAAAATGTATGCCTCTCTTTACTATTGGCGGGGATCAAATTGGTAAAAAATAGGGACACCTGAGACATTTTTGTATAAAACTGGGACAAATCAATGGTTTTGGATAAATCTGCTGGGACGGGACACAGGGCTCAAAACTGGGACTGTCCCAGGTAAATAGAAATGTCTGGTCACCCTAAGCAAATAATTATTTCACAGTTGCTTTGTTCAGTACATTTTACAGTGCTGCTCTCTATTTCTGCAGATGCCAACTATTATTTTTTTGCTGTGTTTTTGCAAAAGCTAACAAGATGTTTTTCTTTCTCCTGGAGATTTCCACAAAAATAACAACCACTGAGGATGCTTGACACAGTAGTTTTGTTTATGTACAAATTCACACACAGGAACACGAAACATGTCTATGATAGTACTACTACCACACAATCTCCACCACGCCATTAGCTAGCTTATCTATGTGGTATCTAATGCTTCAGTTTGCATATAATATAAGAATGTTTGATTTAGAAATTATAAACCAACATGAGATGATAAAGAAGGCGTTTTAGGACATATAAACAGCACTTACAAAGTCTAGAGGAGTTAGTTTACAGACGTACTTATCCCCTCCTGCCTCATTCATTATCAAGTCTGTCGATTTCAAGACATTTTTCACATAAACAGATGGAGATGAGATGGAACGGCTCCTGGCATCTGGGCCCAATAACCAGAGGCGATGTAGAAATTCTTAGGGGAGATCTGAAAGTTTGACAGAATTATGGTTCTCTAAAACCCAAGTGCTAATATCAAGCATGGCTGTCGGGTCCAAAGGTGACGTCCTGAAGGCCTCCAAACCAAGGCTGCACACAAAATCAGTTTGAGCACTGCAATTTGGAAGAACAATGTCTATTTAGACTAAGACAAAATTTATTGATCCACAATGGGATTATTTAGGCATTCTATTAAACCTCATAATCTTGTTTTGAGTTACCGAAATAAGATAACAGTTTCTGCACAAGAACGTAGTTTCTTGCATATATTTTGAAGTATTTTTGTGTTTAAAATTGCCAATATTACATTATATTCTGATCTATGTTATAATGTTGTTTCTCCATCAAAAACATACCTGGAGTTGTGTTATGTTTCATTCACACATGTTTAACACAAAAACATAATATATTTAGGCTGAGTTCTTCTCTCAAACAGAAAACACTCTGTTCCACCTTGTGATGTCACATACAGGAAGTGCTTAACATACAGGCCTGCACTGCTCACTGAGGTTAGCAGTTGCTGGCATAGGTCGCATAACATTTTTTTCATAAACAAACCGTTTAGGATGTTACAAATGTTTATAACTTTAAAAAACACAACATTACATTCAAATTTGGTGATGTGTCCCTTTACGTCATTTGCATATTAATGCTCAATAAAAGAAATATTGGTTGGTTAAAATGTATTACAATATGAATTTACTGCAATGTTTTCAAAGGCAGTAACTATGGCTTAGATAGTTTATAACAGTATCCTTTTCAAAGCCATACACCTGTACAAAAAGGTGCAAGAATGCATTTGTTTCATTCACAGAAGATCATACCCTGCGTTTCATTTTGCTCAAGCACTTCTGAAGTTTGATTGACATGATTTTCTCTGATGCCGTGTATCACAGCAGAGGAAAATGAGCAAATCTGAAATTCAATGAGACTTCAAATCAGTGGCTACCGATCAAAAAGAAGTGGATTATTGTAACAGTGTCCTAACAAAGCACTGTAGACAAAGACATATCACAATAAAGAATCAAGGGCTGACTTATTGTGGAAAGGAGCAGGTGTACTGCCTTGTTCTGATCTCTATCTGTGTCATACGCTTTACTGAAGACTCTTCTCTGCTCATCGCTTTGTCCATAACATGATGCTGTAATATGCTAGAAATAACACACTAACATAAAGGTGTCTCTGATCTGAGGACTGGAAAATGATGGGTTATCCCCACAAGAGATCAGCCTCTAGTGACACTTGTTTTTACAGCTGAACATTAGAGAGCACCTCTGCTTTCTCCATACACAGTCTGCTCCTGCTTTAATGTTGAAATATGGCACAAATACTACCACACAATAACCTAACTGGTAAAGCTGAATTACATGAAACAGTGCTAAATATTAGTGCACATTTCAAACTGAGCAATAATTAAGTGTACAATATTTAGGTATAGATCCTCCTGATGCTTTTACATACATAGCATAATGTAAGTAAAAAGAAATGTGTTTCTTTAAGACTTTCTCTTGTTACTACTAACTATTTGTTAGAAATTCTTGTTAACTAATTTGTTATTTTTAATATTTTAATGTTTACTTAATGCCTTGTTACTTTCTATCTCAGTCGAAATTGAACATGCAAATAACTCCTACTTGGTCCTTGGAACCAAAAGAATCCCGAGAACACATTACCAACACTGCTCATGTGCATTTTGATTTTATAATCAGACACCCTCACATTCGTCCAAAGTTTGAGTGAGGTCAACCATACACATGCAGGCGGGCTAGATTTGATCAAATAGTTCACAAACACCGATCTCAATACAGACTGCCGTTACTGCTGCCATGCAATGCTAATGGTGCGTTGATTGTGGCCTACAGTGGATTATGTTTGCTTTGTGTGTGAGGAGTGAGTGGCTTCAGACGCTGCCAGTGACGCACAGCCCGATAATCTGTTTTATTCACTCATCTGATTACTTTAGATGCATATTGAGGAGTAAAAAAAACTTTTTACTCTTTGTGCCATGCATAAAAATCATGAAAATTATGAAAACTGTGTAAAAGGGTACATGCATTGTTATTGGGTGAACATGCAGAAATCAAGTGAAAAGAGCTAACAAGAATTATGCAGTGAGAATTTTAATTTCCATTATTTAGTGCACTTTTGTGACATTCACTTAGTACATTCCTTTATTTTCATGTTAAATCCTCCTGTCCCTCAGGTCAAGCCCTTCTCTCCCTGTTGCATACTGACTTTGTGTCCTTATGCAAGACACTTCACCACCTTGTCACCATATTCCACATAATTTTGATGGAACAATATACTTGCACTTTTAGGCTGCTCTATCCATCTCATATTAGTCATTAGAATTATCAGTCCTACTAGTCATTATTAAAAGTAAATGATTACAGTACAGTACAAGTCATTACAAGTAAATGATATGAAAATGGTGAATGGTAAAATGGTAAAATGTCTCTTATTAAATAAAGAAATGGATTAGTGTGATGGAGTTATTAATATGGCATATTCTTTTTCATTTGCATGCTTGATTAGGCTGCTGTGTGTCTGCCGCTGGATCTTAAAGCCCACTGGGGGGATAAGCGTTGTGTTGAGGAAAGGATTACTGCTCCTCTATTTCTGTCCTGTAAAGCTCTTTAAAGGCCTTGCCCTCATGTGTCTGGCTCTGTATCAAGGCGCTGTATGAGGAGCCCTGTGCACACTGATGGTTTGTCTAAAGCTTCTTGGTGTCAGCATCACCTGGGAGAAGAGGAAAGGAACATTTTTAAGAATAATTATTACAGGACAAGGGAGGAATAGTTGCCAACATGCTGGTGTCCATGCTAACTGCCATGTACATGATGGTCAAATTTGTGGAATCGGTAAGAGATCTTAGATAGTTGTGTGGTGTTAAAATGTAGCATGGAGTAAAATAGGGTTTCATAGAACTATTGTAATCAATATTTCATGACAGTGTAAAAATATTAATATGTTCATGTAAATGATCATTTAAATTTAAAAAAATCAACCTGCTTGATGTGTCATTTTAGTTCTAGTCACACATGCTGTTAAACTTCTAGCCTAATAGAATGATAATGATGATGAAATGGCAGCTATTGTTCTATGATCTTAATTAAAAATGAATAGTGAAACCTTGCATCCAATGTATGTTGATTAATAACATCCACAAACATCTCTGTCAGACCTGTTATTAGACCATGTTGATTTTAGATATTATCTACACAGAGCAGTCATTCATCTGTGAGAGTCTGTAAATCATTAATCTGTGCTATAGGTTTGATTATTTGTTCCAAACTAAATCCCACAGGCACAAATATTAGTTGTTCTAGACAACAAGGCTTGGGTAAATGAGGGTTGTAAGAGGATCTTCAACAAGAAAACCAAATTCAATCAACAGAGTGAATCATGACACACTGTAGTGTGCACAACTAGAGCAAGCAAAATAGTTTTTTTGTGAAATACCTTTATAATCAAGGGCATTAATGTGGGAGAATATATTTTGATATTTTCAGAACAGCTAATAGTGGCCTCTCCATCTCTGTCAGAAATCTTCATGTACATCCATGTGTGCTCTATTATTTAGTGATGTAAATCAATCATTGTCTGGAGTTGAAATAGCTTCATAACAGACCTCCTCTTTGTGTTTATTTTTACCTTCAGATTAGCTTGCAGTTTGAGAGAAAACCTGAGCCGCTGCCTTACATGGTCTCCCAGCCTTTGCCTTGGCAGATTCACTCAGTGTCCCACAGCCGCAAGAACAGCAGAGTAGATGAGGTAAGTGCTATGGACACAGTATGGACAGCTCCCAAAGCAACCTGTTGATTCAGTACAATTCGGAATTCATGAAAGCACACCCTTAAGTCACACAGGAAATTAAGAGTATCTGCCAAATTCTGGCTGGTGCTACATGGTTCTGACATGTGATCCAGAATACTTATTCAAAACTTTACCAAGATCTGAAAATACAGAAAGATTTCATTCTGGACTAGTGAGGCAGGATGGCACTAAAACACTGCACGTTCTATACAGAGCAGTGTAATTTTAAACAGTATCCAAAATGGGAGCCAACAGGTAAATTTAATCTTGTCCTTTCCTTCCTTTTCTACAACATAGGGTTATAGCCTAAACTACAGAAAATCACCAAGAGTACAGGTTATGCTGCTGAGGGACAAACTGTCAAATCAACAAAGTGAGCGTGCGAAGGTTTGCCTTTTGCTCGCTGCGCGCTCTGCTTGAGCTGTAATCCCAATCAAGAGATTTGTTTCTGAGGACGGTCAGTGCCCTAAACGCAACATAGTGCGCATATTGCAACAAAAGCACCAAAGGGGTTACAATTGTTGATTACGCGCTAGGACCTCACCACATTGGAGCATGCATGGCACATGCATATCAACATTAAATATCCATATTGAGGAATCTCTCTCTTGTGCTATTTCTCTCGCCCTTTTCCTCTCTCTAATAAGATGACCTTTATTTTGTTTTATTTGAAGTTTGATGGCTACAGGAGGAACAGCATAGGCGTTTACAGAAAAAGTAAGTTCAATAGATTACTGATGAAGCAGGCTATTTTTCTGCTGTCTCACATCAAATTTCCAAACGTGTGTTAAATGTGGATAAGAGACACTAGGCAGAAAGACAGCCAGCCTGATGTGTACACAATGTGTGTCTGTTTGAACTTGATTATTGCTGCAGACTATGTCTCCATGGCTATTGCCTCTACCTCTCTGGCTATCCCCTGTGTCCTGTCGTGCTCAGACTCCAATGCCAGCAATGGGACATGCACGAGCCCGGCGGCACCCCCCTTGAGCCCCGTGGAAGCCGAAAAAGCAGCGGCCACCATCCAGACGCACTTCAGGAAGTTTCAACAAAAGAAGCACAAGAATGAGAAGTAGAGGCTTGGGGCTATGTGCCAGACAAAGATACTTATCCATCTGAATCTCAGTATTAACATAGACAATGACTTATAGACCTATTTATGTAGCTTCTTAAATGCTGCTTGTAACCTTATGTGTTTCAATGAATGCTGAATGTGAGAGAAGAATAAGCAGTGCCTGAGTGATTTTTTTTTTTTCTGATGAAAATCGTACTTGTGTTCATAAAAAAGTGAATGAAAATACAAGCTGATTTTAACGCTATGTGCACACTCTTTTAATAAAACTGGACAGAATGCTATATACGTCTCTGTCTCCCTCTAGTGGTGTGAATTGATTTAATATCCAAATGGATGAGAGTGCAGTAAAATGTAAAATCTATGGTTTGTTTGGTGTCAAATTTAACAGGAGAAATTAAATAGTAGCCTAGTATCTTGAAGTAAACTCCTCAGGATTTATGTGCAGAAAAAATAATAGAAACTTAACCTTAAAGTTAATTATGAGGCAAGAGAATCAGTGATACAAGAAAATTGTATATGGTTAAGGTGAAATAATCAAATAAGATATCATACATAGATCTACTCTACTTAGTGTGCACGTGGAGGCTACTTCCAACTTTTCTATTATTACTGACACTTACATATGAATGTCATATGTAAAATTAATTAAATGTAATTACATGTTTACCAATTTCCTAGCTCTTCTCTGTCAGAGGTGGGTGTCCATACTAATGTGTATAATTTAAGTTTTATTTCAGTTTATATTTTGCATTATCACTTCACAATGTTCAGGCTGGACGAGCTGGTGGCTGCTGCAGGTGAGGTCAGGTCAGGGTTAAGTGCACTATATGAGTGCACTGGGCCCTGGACAACAATAGAGTGGCCACTTGTGGACAACAAGAACTGTCTGTCTGAGGTTCTGAGAGAGCAAAGTGAAATCATCAAAGACCAAAGAGCCAGACCTATGTTGAAAATAACCACAGCGCCATCACGTTCATAAAAAGATATCTTTATTGCACAAGGTGTTGAGTACTCTTTTTAAGTTTTTTGTTTTCATAAAAAAGAAACTGTTGAGTTAAACACAAGCAACTGCAAATTTGAAGCAACAATTCCCTCATAAAAGTTTAAGGAACAACCTTTGCATTTTAAAATATTTTATGAAGTCCCCCTTTTGATAGTTCAAATTGCCTTTTCTATGTATAACCAGCAAAATCTCCAGAACATGCAATGCAGCAGTCCTCCATAAAAATGTGATAATAAGCCAAAAATATAAGCTTCCTGTGACAAAGTAAAATGAAGTAGAAAGGGTAACAACGTAATCAAACATCCTGTAAAAGAAGAATCTTAGTTACATATGCATGGACCACTCAAATTGTTTTTTAAAAAGCTGAAAAAGCAAGATAAAGCAGTGTAACTATATTTCTATAATTCTTCATTAAGATCTGCTTTGTAACAATATCTTTAGTTGAAAGTTTACATTGTGCCCTGGTTTCTAGTGATGTCCAAAATAGTACTTGTTCTATACAAAACACTTTCTTATATGTACACAAGACCTCTTGTATGGAGCTGATGTGGGCAAGGATAAAGTGAGACAAGGGGATCTGAGCTGGACTTGAAATGTTAGCAAGGGTTTTGATGTTGGTTTTAAACACAGCAAATTTTTAAGATTTTTCAGATTAATATATATAAAAAAAAAAGAAACATGTTCCAATTTTATATTTCTGTGGTGATGGTATAGTTACAAAATGATGTGTTTATTTGATGTACAGAGAATATTAATTTGACCCAGCATAAAACCTGTTTTTCAGAGTAAAAACTACAGCTGTGTTGTGCAGAGGTAAGCTGAATGTAAAAGCATGTATTTCTCTGATCCATACAATATCCAGTTAGGTAAGAATATTCCATTATATTAAAAGGAATGTTTTGCATACATACAATAGAAATGTGAAAGGCATCTTTATTTTGTAAAAATAAAAACAAATCTGTTTCTCCCTATATTTAATTTTAATAAATTGAACTGCCATGAAGAGTAAATGCTCTGAGTTGTGTCTTGCCTGCAGTCATGGGGAGGGAGTTGCTATGACAGAACCTTTGCTGTAATGGCATTGAGCTTGTGAACACACCTTTGGAAGGTACAATACAACATATTACAATAGGCTCACTTACTGTGTAGGCTGTTCATTCATATTCAAAATGTTTATATTAAACATCACACTTTCTGCAATGAGCCATAGACCACAGCTAACCAGCGACACAATCTCACTACACTTCATCTTTACTGTGCTTGTCCTCGATAAGCCACGGCCTGCTACACAAGCGCCACCACCAAACATTTACAAAATCACAAGATCCTTGTAGAATTCTCCAAACTCATGTCTTGTCTTTGCTTTTTCCTTATATTTCTGTCCATGGTAGTAGTACCCGTTTAAGCCATGAGCTTCCCTCTGCTTCACCCCCTTCCTTCTTGCAGTTTTTATCCTAAGCGATTGTCTTGTGATCTTTTATATATATTTTCAATTAGATCGGCTTTAATATTTCTTTTTTTCAATATTCATATAGTTGCTATATATTTAAATAGAAATATATATGTACATACTTTTGAAAACAAACATATAGAACACATCTTTTTATTTTTTCTATTGCGAGAGCCCTGATGTTATGGTGTAGCATTGCAAAACATTTAGAGCAACTCAATTTTTGGAAACGATCTTTGTCATGGGATTAGCTTTGGGAGAATAAGAAATGTGGGTTAAATGTCCTCATAACTGTAACAGATACAGCACCATGTATAAAGCTTAAAACGACTCAGCTGAAGAGACTGTGTTGGAGCTTTGGGGACTACTTCCATTTAGAATAATGTTGTCTCAATATTCTTCACTCAACCACTCCAGGTCATTGCCATAAAATGATCTGATACAAATAGGATTTTTTGTATATCATAAGCATTTGTATGTGTCTATGCATATTAAACCTAACCTCTCAATCTGTTTTCTTCTTAAATGACTAGCTTGCTATCAGTAGGTCACAGTGACTCTGTATGGATATGGTGGCTAATAGTAACAATTAAAAAAAGGCAGAAAAAGAAAGAACAGGAAGAATAAAAATGATTAGGAAAAATATATATAATGTGGCACCATTATGTAACATCCAAGCTTTCTCGTGTCCTGTTCTTCCTACAACAGCAAACTGCTCTCTGTCCTATACCAGTTACAAAATAAATATAGTCAAATTATAGTCATAATGTTACATAGCTAGTATCGTCATGGGCTCTATACCCTTTCACCGGTATATAGGAGAAAAAAAGCCAAGGGTCACTTTTGACACCGAAGTGTGCTCAAAAGGCCAGCATACATACTGATTTTATAAAAGGTCCATAGTTGGTGTGTGCCTGCCACATGTATACATATATATATTTACACATATACACCCACACGCACACTCCACACACTCACACATTCACACAGGCTTGTGATTTCTGTTTGATCCATTCGATTTCTTCTGTACTGCACATAAGATTATAATTCCATCAGAAAATTAACGGAAAAGTGATTGAAAATTCATCTTTAATGAATTGAATCTTCTCCGCTTTAAGTCTATATATATATATATATATATATATATGTATATATATAAAAGCATCATTTAAGACCCCTACACTGTAATCTGTCCCTTTTGAAGAAAATTCCCTATATCATAAAACTGGGAGACAGCAGTCCTCATACTGTGAACACGTAGGTGAGTCTATGACTCATTAAGTTACTTCAAAATGACAGTACACCATAGTAGGTGGTAATGCATACAGTAAAAGCATCCTGCGATGGCACAATGCTGGGAGATGAACTTCTTCAAAAAATGTTGCATTTCAAAACCTAAAAGGTTCAACAGGTTTGTGTGAAATCTACTGTCTGGAAAGCAGAAAAGTGCTTGTGTAAAATGTACATGTCTTTATCAACAAATCAAAACGTGAAGTAAATAGATAATTAATGTTTTGGCAAGTGACTTCCAGGGCGAAGAAATAAGAGCAAGATGACTTATTAGAATGCAATCAGACAGTAAGAAAGGCAAACCCCTGTGCTGTGGAGACCCAGCAGTGAGCCCCTTCATACAGTAGTGTCGATGGGAACCAGGCAGCCACACAGTTTGGCACAGCTCAGGCACGGACAAGTGGGCTGTGCATGCATTTATCCCTCACACCACCTCCACAGTGGCTCTAGGCAAGTGCTGGCTCCACCAGCAGTTTGTCAAAGTTACAGTGATGCCAGTCTACACGAGTGTGTAGGATTTGGAGTACGCTCCTGAGCCCCCGTCCCGTCCATCGCGTTCATCACGTCTGTCTCGTTCATCACGTCTGTCCCGTCCATCTCGACCATCCCTCTGTTTCTGCAGTCTGCCCAAACCTGAAGAACTGCTCTCCAGGAGAGAGTCTCTGGATCCTCCCATCTTTGAGGAAGGTCCCCCCATGGCCCCTGCTGCCCCTCCGCCAGAGGCAGAGGCAGAGGCAGCTGCAGCAGTACTCTGGGCTGATGCTGCTGAAGAGCTAGGCATAGTGAGAGTCCTCTGAGGAAGTGTGGAGCTACTGGAGCTGGCAGACAAGCCTCCACTTGCCCCTGCACCCCCTGTGGCCCCAGAGGAAACCCCAGAGGAGGTTAGGCCAGAATGGCCCATGGTCAGGGACTGTTTTGAGTCCATAGTCATATGACGGCCCTGGAGGTACCGCTGGGCCAACCCACGAATAGAGGCTTCGTGGTGGGACCACTGGACAGGGGTCATGATGCTCCGACTGCTTTCTGAAGAAAGGATCTGACTTCATGTAGAGGGGTAAATTGCAGTAGTCACCTGTTACACAACAAATTAGATACAAGTTATAATCCCTATCATTTGTTTGTGTAGGTGCACTTCTTTTCTGATGGATGGTCTGCAATGAGCTTGTAACTTTATAAAAAGTTATTTTTTATTAAAAAAAAAAAAAAAACAGTGTACCTTTCAGTAACTAAGAATACAGGTTATGACAGGTGAACTTACTTTTTGCACGGTGTGGTATGGGCACAGCTACATTCTTGCCACGGTCGTAGTCCTGGGGTTTTGGGGGTGAGGCAGTGAAACGGCAAATACCAGGTTCTGATGGTGTGCTCATGGATGTCATACTGTCTGCATTGTCATTGGTTCCTGTTGTCATTTGGTCAGATGAGCTGTCAGAAATGAAACACTCCGTGATCTCAAATTTGGCATGCTGTAGGTGCTCTTCCAGCTTGGCATGTTCATAAGCTCGAGCCAGCTCTTCATAGGTGGAAGAGGCACTCTCTGTAGACACCATGCTGTTTCGACCCTTATCTGCCAATGACAGGAAAGACAAAGTAAACTCAATGAAATATCCAGCTTGCTGTTGGCTGGAAGTGTCTGTGTGCATGAGCCAACCTGTGTCCTGTGAGAGACTGGCGCTGTAGCTGTCACTCTCGGTCACAGTGATGCCATGCTGAGAGCCAACTGTGCGCCAGTCTGAGGTGAGAGTACGGGCTGGTGTCGAAGCCTGGCACTTGGTCAGAGTCCACTGACTCGAGTAACGATTTCTAATGCTGTGGGCTGACTTGACACTCTTTCGTGACACTGGATCTGTTGAAAAATGGAATATGTGTATATTATTAAATAAGACTAGTTAACCATTTAATCTGTAAACTAGATCGTACTAAAAATCCAATTACTGAACTAATGAATTTGCATGATTGTTCATGATTCTAAAATGAAAGGTCTAAAACAGCACTGAAAAAAGACTCACTAGTTCCAGGACGGATATCTGACATATCGATCAGGGGGCCAGTGTTCTGTATGAGAGCCTGGTGGTGCACTGACACACCTGCGCAGAAACTCTGAGGGTTCCCAGTCTGGTTGAACTCAGTGTCCGTCACAGGAATAGTGGCTTTGTCCTCACCTACCACAAAGTAGACAGTCATTTAATATGAGCCATGATTTTGTTTAATGAAGGAGCATGACAAAACAGACATATAAACACATATCATAGTGTCTCTTTCTCTCTTCCTCTCACCAATTTGCTTGATGCCCTCTTTGTCCTCGATCAGCAGCTGCACCCTGGGGATGTCAATATGTAGGCGTGGGCCTTGAGGAGGCCCCTTCACTGGTGTGTCAAAGCTGCGGTTGTTTTTACTGCTTCACACAAAAGACGCACACACAACAGTGTTTAAGAATGATGCATATGAACCAATGCACAAAGGTTGCTGAAGACACTTACCTGATCAGCATCTCTGCCAAGCTTTTGGCATCTGAGAGGACAAAACAGATTAATAGATCAACCATAAAGAATAAAAAAAATAAATATATATATATATATATATATATATATATATATATATATATATATATATATATGTATATTTGTAGCTTTTCTCACCTCTCAGTCTCTTAAGTCTCTTCTCTTTGCGTTTCTTTCTAATGATGAAGAGAAGAGCGACGCCCAGAGTTACTAAAATCACTGGACATCCAATGGAAAACAGCTTTTTGACGTCATCATTCTTTTCCAGGGGTGACTTTATTGGTGGGATTGTACCTGGGAATGTTAAAATATAAATTAACATAAAGCTGAGTGGTTCAGTCATGCTGATCAAAGAAATATGCCTTTATATAATATGAAATTTCCTGAAATGCATGGCATGTTTGGTTCACTAAAATAAATTTTCTCTTGATTTACAAAAGGCATATTATGCTGTTTTCTAACATTTTTGTCATAATAATCCCTGGCGATTATTATTTTACCATTTGTTAATGTTAAATTTCAATATTGATCTAAATGACTTAATAACAGAAACAAATCTACTGACTTCCATTTCAAAAAAAGTGGGACTCATTCTTGCCTACTATCAGCACAACAAATGTATGCTGAAAACTGCTGTGGAGATGCAATAGAATCATACATGAGCAAATTAAGTATAGAGTTATGGGCGCAGATAGGTGAAAATGTGAATTTTCAGAACAGTAACAGCTCAAATAAAAGGATAATTGTAAATCTAGTCAGTGTAAATGCTTTGTGCTACTCAAGTGCAATGTTAGACTCCACATACATGAATCATTCAAAACACATCTTTCTTAGACTTATGATGAGGGAAAATCATTATAACAATGCATGCTAAAACATACTTCCATCATAGTCCAAAGTGGCAAACTGTGAGCTTTGGTTGCCACAGCCGGCACTGTTGCAGGCTTTCATCTTCAATTCATACCAGGTGGCCTCACGCAACTCAGCCAGAAACACATCTGTGGTGGCATTGGTTCGGACGCTCTGCCAGGACCACGTACCTGCAAAGGACAAGACAACTGAGCGACTCTGATTTGTGTAAAATTTTGAGATCTATTATTGTGCTTGATACCTTTTGGTCGAAACTCTAGTGTCACTACACTGATGGGGCAGCCCCCACTAGCCCACCCCTGGAGGTTAAGGCGAGCATGACTAGAGTTTATGTGGGTAAAAACTGGTTGGTCTTTGTTGAATTGAGGTTCTGTAGAAATAAAAGTAATAATATATAATGTCACAAAAAATAAATAATCCAAGTAATTTAGTCTGTTACCTCTGCCATGAGTCTTTGCCTCTATAATCTCGCTGATGCGCCCAGCCCCTACACTGTTTTTGGCAGCGAGTTTGACTTTGTACCAGGTTCCACAGCGTAGATTGTCTAATTTGAAAGAACGCTCAGTTGAACTGATAAATACATCCTTCCATTCTTCTGTGTTGTCTACTGAGTACTGCAGCACAAAGCCTGCACAATGAGAAATACAGAAATTAACATGATATAACAAATGGCCAGTAGATGGCAGTGCTAGAGTGTGGTTTGAGCCTTGGCCCAATTAGAGAATGGTTGGGCTTCACTGGGTCTAGTATGGCTCCATTACTTACCTACAAACCTAAAGTCTGAGATGGTGCTGAGTGCGCATCTATGCAAATAGGGCTTTGCAATGTGGTGACTGTATCAGCCGCTTGAATAAACCATCTCTCCTCTGCTGAGACACTCACACACTGAATCCTCTTTCTCTGTCCACATGCTTTTCTCTATTGATGTATTTAACTTTTGTAGGAATTATTTGAGTGGAGAATAAAAACAATGCATAGTATAAAATTTGAGATGCGTATTCAGCTGAGCCCCCTTTTATGATCTACATTTAACATGTTTATTGTGTTCTTTTCTGCTCAAGAATGAGCAGATAATGTACTTGAAGTGTTATTGAATTCCTCCAAATTAAATTTAAAATGATGCAGATTATGAACAATATTTTCTTTGGAATATGTTTCATTTAAAATTACTGATGGTAAATCTCAATTAGAGTATATATGATTGATATTGTCTTATATAATATGAAAAGAGCACACCCATTACTATTAAACTATGACCATGTGTAAACACATGTATACCTCTGATAGAGCTCCCTCCATTGTCTCCTGGTATCCAGGCCAGTGTGATGGAGGAGGTGGAAGTTGTGGATACCGTTAGACGGGGTTGGTCTGGGGGAACTAAAGAATACGCAAATTATTACTTGTACTAAAGGCCTATACTGCCAATCTACATGTGAATCTGATATATGGGACTTACCTTGCACCACAAGGTTGACTAGGATAGTGTCAAATCCCAGAGTGTTGGTAGCAGTGCAGGTGTAATAGCCAGAATCCTCAGCTTTGACTGAGCGCAGCACTAAGGTGCCATTAGCTAAGATGAATCTCTGTCCATCCAGGGCGAGTGGGATGGCTGTGTCCTCACTAACACATACAGTAAAGACATTCAGTTATAGCCTGATAACTATTTTATGTGACTGCATTAGCCTTATCTGTCAAATATGTTTTACCTGTCTTTGGTCCATTTTATTGTAGGTGAGGGCTCTCCCACTGAGCTGCAGGGCAATCGCACCTCTTTCATCCAAGGAGTGGTCACTGTACCTCCAAAAGACAGGATTTTAGCTGGAGCTGTTGGAAAATAACAAATAATGGTTTTAATAGAAAAAATGAATGAGGTCAAATACAGTAAAATTATGTAGTAATTGAAGTAATTGGCACCAACTCACAGATTGAAAAAGGTTCACTAAGGAGTCTCAGTCATTTAATCTTTTGTGAATAAAACTGTTTTCAAATCCAATAAATGGCCGAGATTTGACAGAGTTTGAATCAATACAACAATGTGATGGTTGATTTGTAATGCATGTATTGATTTATTTTCCATTTAGAATTCTGTCAGTAAATAGGATTTACAAGAAGGGAAAAGCACAACATATTTCCTGTGATTCACAGTTAGTGGAACAGATATGTGAGTGTGAATTTGACACTGTCCATCAGAGAACAGAATAAAAAATAAGACTGCACAAATATGTGTAGAGATGACTTAAAAAATACCCGCTTGCTCACTATGTGAGTCCCCCACCCGCTCTCAGCAACATGCTTTTCAGGCTGGGAATCTTAATGCCAGCGCTCTAGTGCACTTATGTTAAGGTTGAATGAAGTATTGAGAGGGCAAGCCTGGAGGACACTTCCTTTTACAGCTGCTGATCAGCTGACGCATTCACCCATACAAACATATGAGAACTGCATCAGTGGTAAAGAGGAAAAAGGATGATAACATGGGAAAGTAGATTGTCCATTGCTGTCATTTAATTCTATTGATTTAACTGCCCTCTTTATCACTAAACTGCCTGCCTCTCTATTGCCTTGTGTATTATTCAAGTCTGGGGAAGTCATTTATTTTCTTTCTTCTTCTGCAATGTGCTGTCCCCCCGATGTTTCACTGGTTGACACCAGTCTATATGTTGTGCCCTCTGAACTCCCATATCAATAAGGTCTTGAGACTTGAGGTCAAAATATAGCCATGCTCACAGAGATACACAAGTAAACACAATGACACCTCTAATGAAAGTGATTTCACAGCAATCTGTATTAAATTTTATGTCAGTCTAGATACAAAATCCATGCATGAAGGAAGTCGCACAAAAGCAGCTGCTTGTATCCTCACATTTAGCAGCTGGCTCCACTGTGACCTTATCACTGAAGTTGCCTCGTCCGGCTGTGTTGACTGCTGCAGCCCAAATCAGGTACTGCTGGCGATGGTTCAGGTGTGTAATACGGTATACCAGTTGCTCTGGGTTGACCTCATATTCACTGGGAAGCTGTAAAAAAACAGCGTAATGTTAGTTAAATTATAGTGAAATCAGTGGAATAACTACACACAAATGACAATGTAATCCCTTATGCCATGTATATATCATGAGTTTGAGTTTAAAAAAATTTAGGCTTTTTATTTGATATAGCATATGTATTACATATAGAATACTACTCTTTTAGTAGTAGCAACTGCTATATATGTTACTACTCAATCCTATTGTGCCATCCAAAATTGCTTCCAAATTATGCAATATAAAATCATTTGAAGGACAGTGTGCACAGCCTTATTGTTAAAATGAAGTGAAGCTGCAAAAGTGATACAGAGTAAAGTGTTAAGAGTGTTGAAGGGATCAAGAGGCTGGAAGGTGCATTTCTTCTTCTATTTTCCCCAGGGACAACAAAACAAGAAGCAAGACACTGGTGCACAATGGAACCACTGAGTCACTCACAGATATCATGAACAGTCATGCACTCAGTGGGATCTGATCTACACATCACTGATGGCAAAGAAGAATAGAGGGGGAGGACAGATACAGATGCATGCAATTTCTGACGCGTACTGAAGAAAGCGGTCATGATCTTATTGTAGAGACACAAACAGCAACATACAGCACATGGCCAGAAGGGGAGAGTGTAATTGCAGCGTGTTTAACCCAGCCATGTGTCAACAGCCAAAACACATCAGCATCACTGTTCCTCAAGCTCAAAGATTTTAAAGGTCTAACAACTAATTCTTATTTTTAATTTCTTCTGTGCGAATCATGTTAAATAATTTTTCCACCTGTCTACAGGAACTACTAAATATCTCACAAGCACACTGTCAGAGCAAAGTATATTTCTGACAAATAAAATATCACCTCTATTATAAGTGTCAAACTTTGTTATTTGAGAGGTCAGCAAAGGTGAGGGACTGGATAGCAGAGCTAGCTCCTGTGATTCTGTTTTATTCTTATTTATACTTATATTTATAAGTCTAAGTCTGAGTCTAATTCTGTCCTGTGCTCTTGTATTCAGCTGTAGATTCTATCCCGTGCAAATAGATTCCCCTATCCATGTTGTTTTTCACATTTATAAGTGGGCCGTCAAACAGGAATCCACTGGGTTTTTTATTACTTCCTCCTCTCTGTTCATCATTCATTGCACTTGTGTATATTTTTCTCTCTCGTCTACTCTGCACTGCATCATCCTTGCTTTCTCATTCCAGCATCCCTCACCATCTCACTTCTTCAGCTGCCTATTCCCCTCCACATTCCTTGTCATGTGTGGGCCTATCCACCAATACCACCCTCCGCTTCGAATCTTCACTGTGCATATCCACGCCCCAAATCTGTTAATGCCGCTTTTCCTTCCTTCTCAGAGTATTTTTTCCTCCATTGCAGGCAGAGGTTGGTTGCAGAAAGGATAGTGGATGGATAGATGAATGGGTGGGTGACTACATGTTGGTGTGACAGAAAGTGATGTGTGCATGTGTGCATGTGTGTGTGTGTATTGCTTTAACGGATATTAAAATATTCCTCCTGTGTGGAGATAGCGGTGATCCAGGGAACGATAGAGCAAGATAATGAAAAGAGGAACAAAAGTACTCCCTGCGCGGTGTGCCCGACCCCCCCATCCCTCCTTCCTTCTCTCCAGTCGCACTCATTTACATAGTAATCATCCCCAACTCTGCATGGGGGCTTTAGCGAGGAAAGAGAGAGAAGGAGAGATAGATGGGCTGATAGATAGGTAAAGTGTCAATGATGGCGACTAAGGAGGAGAGTGCTGGTATATTTTTAGAGGTACACTAAAATGGTGCATTTGTGTCATCTAGTTTTTATGCAGTTATGCTAGTACTACACATTTCCTGTTTTTGAAAACATTCTGTCATAAAACATGAGTTGGTAAATGCATTCATAACTCTATGTATGGACTCATACATTCAGTGTGTGAGTGTACATCAGTGTTCATGTGAGCATGCATTGCAGTTGGTTTGTTTTCTCCCCTCGTTGATGAATAGATGAGGTTGTCCTGGCAACGTGATGAGACGCAGATATGCAAATGAGGCTGGAGGGTGAGCTTGCACACACACTGCGGTATGAGGAGAGCTCATTTTACACACATGTCTCGCAGAGACTGCAGCACTAGACCACACACTTCACAACCACACCAATGCAGAGCTTGTGCCAAATCACATTTACCTACAACATTTTACACACTTTACAATAATGTTTGCTGCAGAGGAAGACATTAACACTACATTTCAGGAGCCATCTTTGAACGGCCCTCCTTCCACTTAACCAATAACTCCTTACACCCCTCTCAAATCTCACCGGTTGGCCCAACCCGGGGCTGGAGCAGTAGATGGTGTACTTGCGGATGATTCCATTAGGCTTGTGAGGGGGTATCCAGGATACTACAACACTACTGGCAGATGAGGGCACAGCTTTTATACCAGCTGGAGGTCCAGGGTCTGAATAAAAAAAAATATATATAATGAGAAAAAATTTGTGTAAATTTGCAGTAATCAGTACTTTAGGTATTATCTAATCTTCAGAACCCTTTATGTGTGTGTCAGTCATAAAACAGAAAGCACCGTTCTAACAGGGCATAATATCCAAATGTGAGGTGGTAGTTTGCACTATTTAAGTACACACACTCCCATATGTTTAAGATTGAGGACAAAGTGAAGGGTGAGATAGGGAGTGTTGAACATATGTGACAAAAATGCCCCTGGACAGAATGTCAACCTGCATTAGGAAAAAGAGGCACCAAGCTCCACACAAACACTAACAGGAGGATTTCAACACAACAGTGGATAAAAATAATGCCTTACCCTACATCAAGACAACTTTAAGTTTTTTGTTTTTTTTAACAGTAAAAATGTATCATGACACCATTTACATTATTTACAGTTTGTTTATTGCATTTCTTGAGGTAAAAACAATTGTAGAGTTTGTAAGCTTTGACGTGAATTTGTGTATTTTCTTATATATATATATTTGTTTATATAGACAAATAAGCTGTGTTCTGCTCATATGAATAAGTACACATGCTCTCCTGCTTTTGGAAGCACCCTGGGTTAAACTCTTCATTGTTTGTTAATGCATTACAGCCAGTACAGCCATTCAGTAGTTTCCCAATTTTATATTTTATTCTCCAATGGAAGAACGACCCCAAACATAATCAGCTGACTGGCTTTTATACAATACCCATTTTAGTTTTTTTTTTTTTTTTTTAAGAATTGCTTTCTGGTCTGTGTACATTTTTATTCATTATATTCACTACATCTGGCTTCTGGAAACCTCCAATTTCAGATTTCAGAACTGCGCCTGCTGCAGGTCCCCTGACCGTAACGGAATAAAGGGCTTTTCTCTAATGACACTTAGAATTTCTGGCCCTCCAGCCTTTTCTCTCTCTTTCTTATATCTTTGCCATCTCCAGACACTTGCCTCCTCTGCTGCCTGGCCCCAGGGAAGCAGAGGAGAGGCGGATACGGATGTAATCCTCCTCCCGTCAGTGTAAGCACAAAATTAATTCTTTCTGAGGCACAAAGAGTTAATCCCTCTCCTTGTGTGGGGTGCCAGGCTAAATGTGTATGTAAACAATGGTTCAAAAATGTACCTCCATTCACAGATATGTGGAACACACTTAACCCTTACCTTGTTACATGCACACACACCCAGCCCCACATTCTGCCTTCTTAATTCCCATTAGTGCTGGTAATGGCACATCATTGAACAAAGAGGTTTTAATCAGCTACCTCAGCCAAATACCCCTTAAAGCCCCTGTTTTTTGTTTCCCACAATGCAACAAGACAAAGAGCAAAAGTCTTACAGGTTCAAAACATATGCTAATGCAAACTGTAGCATTTATGCCTTTATAGTTGCTATTTGGTTCTTCATACTCAAAAAGAACAGCCAGATTTAAAAAAAAAAATCCTTTAAGGGTAGAGCTGTGTTTTAGTGTATATGAAAGACTCACAGTCTTCTCGGGTTTGTATGTAAAGCACATTGCTCCGGACGCCATCACCAGCCTGAGTATAAGCCAGGACCTGGATGCTGTAATTGGTGAACTTCTCCAGACGTTTAAGCTCCACTTGCTCTTTGATGGTGGTAATATTTTGCATTTCACCCCATTCTGACGGAAAAAAGAAGCAGTTAGCACAAAGAACAGTGGTGTGAGACACATTTTAAAGTTTGATAACTTAACCAACCTCCATCTGGAAAAACAGCCCAGAAAACAACACGATACCCCTTTAGGACCCCATGCAGGGTCAGTCTGGGGGGCTCAGCCCAAGTGATGACAGCCTCGTCAGAGGTGACGGAGATGGCGCGTACATTTTGAGGGGGCTGGCTGGGAACTGTGGAGTGAAGTTTTTTATTTTAATAGTTAGTAACAACACATACTTTTACATAAAACGTGTAAACCATGTAAACCAGTTATATATAATATATATAACCCCCTTTGAAAGACTGGACCTAATTTCCATATCAAACATGAGCTAACTAAACAGGCTAGTCAGAAAAAGCGCTGTGGCCAGCCTGATCTATATAGGGTCATCTCTAAAGCACCAAATCTGTGCAGTGACAATCCCTTCTCTGTCCCAGCCGACCCAGGTGTCTCCTCTATAGCCACTGCTGACCATTCGTCTTTTAAGGCCTGAATAACACACAGTGTTGAGGTTGAACAGAAGTCAACTTGTGAGAAGTAGCGGGGCAGGAAGAGAGGAAGAGAGTGAACTGAAAGAGAGAGTAATGAAAGCGCTGGATCAGGCCAAGTCCACCAGGGATTTTCTCTGCAGCTGGTGATGGCGGAGAAGGTGGGTGGAAGGGAGGGGAGACAGGAGAGGATTAGAAATGCAACAAGGTTTTGCATGAATAGAGCTTTCGGCTTATAGCCTAAGTAATTAGACAAAACAGACCTTAGTAACACCTAAAAGACAAGGGCTTTAAAGGAGCATACAGCCTCCAACAATCCACAAATTAGGGCAGGATTATTACAATGTGGGAAATATACAAAGAGTACAAGTACATCACAATGTAAAACTCCCAAGTACACATAAAATATAGTCACTTGCATCCAAATTAGTGATTACATGCTGCAACTGGCTAAGTATAAAAATAAAATCCATCACGTCTATATGAATGTTGAATGCCATGCTTTGTGTATGATAAATGGAGAATATTTGAGATCTGATTATATATATCAGCTTTGGACCAGGACTAGAGAAAGGAGGAGAGAGATGGGCAAGGGAAGAAGGGAGGACGACAGGAAGAGAGTTAAAAGCATGGGGAGCAAGGGAAGGGCAGAAAAAGATGAAAAGAGAGAGTAGAGAGACAATGCACTCAGCTGTGGATAATTACAGCAGGAAGCTAGCAGACACAGAGACAAGCTAATTATAATTATTTTTAGTATGCTTGTTGTTATCACTATTATCATAATGGCCATCAATATCACTGTCGCCACGGTTACAGCCACAAGGAAGAACTGAAGGGCTCGGTCTGCTCTGGTCCAATGAGACTAAACCAACTGTTAACAGGGTGGACATTATCTGCAGTATAGTTAACATGTGACTTATTTAGGAGTCATCTTATTTCATATTAACACTGAACATTAAAATATGAAAGAAAAATGCTAAGAGTGTTCCTCATAGACAGTTTTATGCTCATTCTAAGGAGTATTACTTTGCATTGAACAGTATTTCATTAAAACAAAGAAGTAAATCCACATAAATGGCACAATATCTTGTACCTGCAAATGCTGACATTAATTTTGTCAGTAAACACAAGTTCTTGATTTTGTCTATCTTAACACTTGCTAAGAGTGAAATGGCCAAAAAGTCATAGGCTACACATCTGCACATTTAGTAGATTTAGTATTGCAATAAAACCTATACACAATGTTCTCACCATCTTCGAGTGTTGTTGCGTTGATCTCGGTGCTGGAGGGCCCCGTGCCAGCTCTGTTGAAAGCCTGGACCACCACACCATACTGGGCAAACTTCTTCAGGTTATCCAGAGTGTAGACCTCACTGTCCCCTGTAGCTTTCATCTCCACAATGCTGTACTGACCATTACTGCCTGGGCCGTTCTCTCTGTAACCAATCTGGTAACCCCGGATCACCCCATTCTGAAGCTCCTTTCTGGGAGCCTGACGTACATCAAAACATTATATAAATATAAAGAACTTTGTGAAAATTGAAGTAAATAATAGAATTCAGTTTAACCTTCCAGGTGACTCTGATACTTTGAGAAGTCACTGGTTGCAACATCACATCCATCGGGGGACCATCAGGTTCTATAAAGAAAATAAGCACCCAAGTTTTAGGTACATTTTTTTGCATAAACACGACATTCTTATAATTGATTAGGTCATTATGATCGTTCAGTTACTTACGTGCTTCCTCTGTGCTAATGGTGAGCTCTTTACTAGCCTCGCTTTTGCCTATAGTGTTGTATGAATACATGCGAATACTATAGACAGAGGCAGGGTGGAGATCCACAATGTTGGCTTGATTATTTGTGGGAGAGATATTTCGTGTCGCATGCTTTAGCTCCCAAGAATCTAGCAGACACACACACACACACACAAAAAGTTTAATCAAAAAGATAAAGATTAGCGAACACTGACACATCCTCTTCACATTTCCAACAAAAATAAATATTCACCTGTTTTATTTTTATACTCAATGTCATAGGAAGTAATAGGACTGTTTCCATCAAATCTCTGAGTCCAGCGAAGGTTCATGCTTCGATCCTTGACTTCTCTCACCTCTAACTCAGGAGGGTCTGGTGGTTCTGAGATTTCAAAGAAAGAAGGACAAAAGGGGAGTTTCAAGAACACAAACACCATTTGGCAAAAAGACAGATACACATCACAGACAAGTTACCTTGCACTGTTAGCTGAATGAGCCCTCGTCCTTCTCCGTAAGAATTGATGGCATGACAAGAGAAGAAGACAGAGTCCTCACGCTCTGCTGGCTTTAGCTGAGAGAAGAAAAGACCTAGTATTATGTGCGCAGGTGAATAGGAGAAATGGATATAAAAGATATTCACAGTTTTTATGTGGAAGTCAAAAGAGATGTTCAATAGCACCCAGAGGCAATCTCAACATTTTATTAGATGTGAAAAAAATTTATACAGCATGTTTGCATTACATCTGGACTCATATCTACCAGCACCTAAGGCTCAAACATTGCTCAAAAAAAAAGCAAAATAGAAAATCGAAGTCTATCTGTTTGTTAGGACTCAAATAGATACTGCTGTCTGATTTCATTAGGTGAATACTCCTGTACATGTTTCTTACCTTGAGAGTCGACAGCACCTCGTCAGTCTTCTCATTGGGGCTGGTTGTAATAGAATATCGGGGGTTGCGGTCCGGGTCAATCACGGTGTCACCCCTCTCCCAGCGAATAATGATAGGCCACTCCCCCCTGGCAGTGCAGTTTAGCTCCTTTACATGGCCCTTTTTGGCCATAGTAGTATTGGGGTGACTGGTGATCATTGCCGGTACTGCAACGAGAAGTAAAGGGGAGTACATATTAAATAGGAGAAGCTAACTTTTAAAAGGCAGTGAGGAGAAGCAGCTGGCAGTTAAAAGGGAGAGTTTGTAGTGGCCAAGTTTCGATGTAGTGGAGTAATGAAGAGCTATGGTCAATGAGAGAAAGTCAATAGACCTCCTCTCACATTCTCCAATAGTTAACAGTGAGGTTTAGGTGAATGAAGAGGCACAACGATAGACCCTCACCTTTCGTGTACACTCTATAGACATAATCACTTACATACTCAATCTTCTGCACACACACGCCTACATTTGCACACAAGCACACACACACACAATATTGATCCGAGGAGGTTCTGCTGTTTTGTTTTCATCACTTATTCATTCCACCCTCCCTCGTTCCAACCTCTCCACTATCTCCGCTGAGCAAAACAGACAGAATTGAGGGAAGCAGAAAAGAGGAACAGTTCAATCAATAACACTAACACCAGAAGGAGAGGAGCGAGACAGAGCCAGAAAGTAGGTGGTAGCTTGTTAAATCTTCACATAGTATAACGTATTCAGAAACATACATTGTACATGGCGGTTCAGCTTGTTTAAGATAAGGTTGTGAAATAGTAAAATGCTAAATTGACACGCCTATTCTGGCTGTAATCCGACCATAAAATCTGACTGACTGTGTATGTAAATGATGCTGGAAACACATGTTCTCAGTGCATTACAGGGAGGGCTGCAGTGAGAAAGGGCTAAGTGAGGACATTGATTACAGATAATAATTAAGCTCCAAGTGTTTCAATGTCAGGAGATAAATCCCAAGAGTCAAAAGATCAATTGTTCTGTTGTTGGGTTTCAGTCTATTACACAGAAAGTTCAGATTTATATCCTCACGGCCTATCGTGTAAACTGAACAAGCCCAAATAACTACAGCAAATGCATAAATACCTCAGAACACTTGATAAACATAAAGTTAGTGTGAGTCCTGTATTACACAAAACTGTCTCTTGTGAGGTTTAAGTCATGTTTGAGTAATTTATTGTTCTCCTCTGTACATCTCCAAAGCTCAAAATGCTCAGTTCTACCTTGTCATGTCATTTCATGTCATGCACTAGTTTTCAAGTTAACAGCTAAATTTTACATTTTGTAAAGCTAAAAGCTTGGCAGCTCCAGAGCGGAAATTATCCAAATTATTCTAGTGAATGTGTATGGAGTTTAAAGACACAGTGGAGCATTTCCTGTATTGCCACATGACATCACAAGGTGGAACAAAGGGTTTTTAGTTTCACAAAAGAACACAGCTTAAATATGAAGGGTTTATGTGTTTGACACAACTCCAAGCATACCTTTGATGAGGAAACAAAATTACAACAGATCAGTATAACAATATAATATGTAATACGTATAGTATAATAATATAATAATATAATGTGAGCCCTTTAATTTTCCTTTTTCCTTTTGTGGCATCCAAATGACCTGTCTCCTATTGTGCAGTAATGTATCTTTATTGTGTATTAAATGAAATAATTTTGTAAAGTTGAATTGGTATACATCACATGTGTCAATAAAACTCACTTTTGACAGTGAGGACCATGCTTTTGCTGATGTCTGAGCCCACACCGTTGGATGCCTGGCAGAGGTAGAATCCCCGGTCTTCTTCAAGCACATGTCTGATAAGCAGGGAGCCATTACTCATTAGCTGGATACGCCCCGTCAGAGGCACGGGGTGGTACTGTTGTGGGTTCCCTATGCCAGCTGAGAACAAAAAAAAAAAGAAAGAGACAATGGTGAAAAGATAATATTACAGAAATTATAACTTCGATAAGAGAAATAATATGAAATCTATGTACCTAGTGCCCCTTTGGCATGTTTCCACATAACCTTTGGAGGAGGGTATCCATCCACAGAACAATTTAAGATCCCTGCTTTCCCATAGATTCCATCCTGGTTGTTTGGCTGCACCACAAATCGAGGGGGCACTAGAAATATGTCAAAAGTGTGAACTTGATTTTCTATTGAATACTATTTCAATATTGTAAAACATTAGATTTTTCATTAAGTCAATTCACTCCAGCTGCATATTTTAAATCTCAAGGTAACATGACTATTACAACTACTACAGCCTTTGAAAAGGATGAGACAGATGCATAATACCTTCAGTAACTCGAAGGAAGAGCTTTTTCAACATTCAAAATGATGTTGAGGGCACATTCAATTACAGTCAATACATGGCCTTACTGATCAAAAGCAAAGGTTTAATTTGAAAGAAATCTGTGTGTCCATGCAAACTTTTGTGCAAAGAAAAATACGCTCTCCATGAGGTGCTTTTATAGCAAACCCTCTTTATAACTGTGTCCTTTCTTACCTGTGACTGTAAGCTGCCTTTCTGTGCTCACAGTAGCAGCATCGTTACTGGCTATGCAGGTGTAGTTGCCATTGTGTTTAAGTGACACTTTGGATATCTGGAGAGAACTCATGAACTCCTTGGTGTCAATGGTGATGCCAGAAGAGGGAACAATTTCCTGTCCATCCTTTCTCCAAGTGATCCGTATGGGCATATCTCCAGACGCTACCACACAGGCAATGTACATCAGTTTACCAATGGAGGTTGGAGGAAAGTCAAACGGCTGGATCAGAGGTGGAACTGTGAAGTGGAGACAAACAAAGTGTAAAGAGAGGAATTAGAACAAGCAAAAACATAATTTCCTCTGACAGAGACAACTTTCTCAAATATAACATTCATTCATTCAGGGTCATTTCAATTTGCTTCAAACAAGAAAATAAGGCCAGCAAAAGCAAAAGATTGCATTTACAATCTCTAATTGAAAATACCTTAAAATAACTGAAATAATGACAAATAAGACAAGTTAAAAACCCAGATACAGATAATGAGGCATGTAGGATATCACAGACAGAAGGTGATCACACATCCACATATGATATTTTAAAGAAAAAAAAAAAAGAAAAGGCATGTGGAGAATGGAAAGAGAAGTGGAGACATTTGAAAACATACAGATAGTCAAAGGACATCAGGTGTGAGAGTAAGTGAAAATAGCAGAGTGGTGCTATAAAGCCGCAGGGAAAGAAAAACAGCAAGAGTCATCTTTGTCTGACTGAATGGTAAACCAGCCTTGTATCTGTTGGTCTGCCTGGAGGTGATCTGTTTTAAGTCTTCCACCAAAGTCTGGACCCCTACAGCCTGGCCTAGCCCACTACCCACTTGGCAGCCTCCTCTGCCCCCTGCCAACCCCTCCACTCCATCCTACTATGCCCTGCGAAAGCCAGCCCATAATAGCTGCTCTAATTAGAGCCCCATCCGCAGGGGGAAGAAGAGTTGCCATGGAGACCGGTGGAGGTGATGGCGCCGGGTTGCAGTGGGGTATGAGTGAGGGTGATGTTAGGGGGGTTAAAACTGAGACATCTGGGGCACTTAATTTGGGTCTTGTTTAAATTATTCCAATAAAATCAGAGACAACATTCACACAAATACAATGGTTTAGCACATACACGTCATGTAAACATGCTCAAGTGTGCATAAAAATCTCCCAAAATAATAAAATAAAGCCAAATGTAAAAATTATATACAGTACAAGGCGATACACACTCAGTGCAGTATATGCTGAGTATAATACACACACACATTTTATACAACAGCACTTGTGCTCTATGTAATTGCTGAGTGGTTGAAAGAGCACACTGGGCTGCTCCGCCCCTTAATCAGGGGTTATTAGAGGCAATGCATACAGCTCTCTCTCTCTCTCTCTCTCTCTCTCTATTTTACCTCCTTTCTTTCTCACTTAGCAGATAGCAATCGCCATTTTATGCATTTCTGTATAAGTAATATAAGCAGACATGGGGCTGGATGATATGGCAAATAAATTACCCCTTGTATTAATCAATTAGAAGTTTTGATTCAATGTTAGCTGTGGTAAGACATACCTTTAACTGTGACATACACGGTCTGTGTGATGAAGAGCTGAGGCTGGATAAGTACACTGCATACATAAGCCCCTTCATCCATTCCTTTTTGAACATCACTTAATTTGAGAGTCCCATTTTCAAACACCACCTAGACAGATTTTTTGCAACAACCATCATAATAAGTTCAATAAAGCCATTCAGTGTAGTCATTTCAATAACTACAAGATTCCTCCATTACATATACAGCACCAGACTGTAGGCCTACCTGGCGATGGTTGTCAGGCAGAAGAAGTCCCTCTTTATACCAGTTGATTGAGTAATAGGGATAGCCAATCACTCTACAGTTTATAAAAGTGTTTCTTCCTGCTACAGCTGTAATATTCTTCATAGGCCGAATCCTTGGAGGTCCTGGTAAAGAAAAGAGACACAAAATAGACACAGTAGGAGAAGAGAGGAATGGCCAAAGAAAGGAGAAAAGAAGAATAACATTAGTGATTATTGTTAAACACACTGTTGGAAATGTAACAAATATTAGGGAGGGGGTTTAGGAGGAAGTGGAGGAAGTAAAGAAAAACATAAAGCAAAAAACAAATTTAAAATTACTTGCAAACATGCGTTGTTATCAATTATCTCTTTATATGCATGAGTATTGCTATTTCACTTTTAACATTTTTAAAGTTGTGAGTCCAAACAAGATGTGTAACTGCAAAAGTCAAATAATATGGAGGAGGAGGTTGCTCTTGCAGCACTGAGGGATGGGTTAATGCAGAAAAAGCATTTCCCACACAAGTGATTAACCTTAATAAGGAAGAAGGCCATCGTATAAACTAAAGATGGGTTTTGCTGTGCTGAAAAACACCTGGAGATCACTTGTAACGTTTTCCTTGACCTTTCCCTACTGTATGCCAATCTCTTTTTACCTTTACTTCGCACACTCTTCTTTCTTTTCTCAGAGTGAACCAAGCTTTGAAGTCACAGCTCTGACAAGTCAAAGATGTATTATTCAGTGCACCCGTAAGACAGACCCCCCCGCCCCCAACTCCAGCGTAGTATGAATGAATACCTGCGCATTTTCACAACACAAGGCAGGCATCACAACTCAAAGAGAGGATCAGCATACGATGGTGTGAAACGGTTTTATCTTGTGCAGCGATGAGTGTCACAGAACCTGCCCATTTGTGTGCCAGTTTGTTACATGTAAGGCCAAAGCTCTCAGGCAATAGTGCTCAGTCTCACTCCAGCAATCATTTTGGCAAGTCTGCTCAGAGCGGACTCACATGTCAAAGCTACACATCTCGCCAAAGTGCAGAGAAAGAGAGAGAGTTTGAATGTGAGCAAGAGAGAAGCAATAAACAGAGAGAGGGAGATTCGGTCATGTCCATGGGTGTCACTCTTCATCCTTGTCATCCTCGCTGACACTGACATCACCAGTCCTGTCACCAGGGCTCACCATCAGCCTCCAGACACACAATGGCACTCCTCCACTGTGGACCTTTGCACACTGGTTCAATTCTCATTCATCATTCAATCTGTTCTGGCCTACTGCCCCTTCTCTGGATATTTTCCCTTGTTGGTTTTTACATTACCTATAGAACAAGCTTGGCAAGTTTAATGGATTTGGAGTAATTTGTTTTGTAAATAAAATCAATCAATCAACTAGTGGCAGAGACAACAAAACTACGACAATAATTAATAAAAAAAACACAACAAAAATCCATAGTCAATTTAGTTAAAGTCAACTTAATCCTTTGAGGATTATAAAATGCTAACTGGAAAAACCTAAAGTAAAAACAAATGCAATATCTATAATGAATTGTTTTTGAAAATCTGCAATACATACTACATGAATCTCAGATAAATAGAAAGCATTAAAATCCTCAAAAAGTCGATTACAGAGAGTAAAAGAAAAAGAGAAAAAAATAAAAGGCATGAGAAATAAAAGCGCAGAGATGTAGTAAGGTATGGGACAGGATTTGGGTGAGGGTAGGGGTCCGGCTCTATCAAGCCTGTATATTACTGATATTGAAAAGTAGACAGGCACCTCTTACGTTTATGCGCGCTTGGTACTCGGCACTACCAGCCGAGTTTCGTGCGGCGCACCGATACACTCCTCCATCGCGGATCTGCGGGTTACTGACGTTCACGTGGCTCACAGTGCTGCCATCAGACAGAGTGTACTGGCTGGCCCGCACCCTCAGCATGTCCCGGGCCACTGGTTCATCGTCCAGAGTCCAGGTAATAGTTGGAGGAGGGGCTCCTTTGGCAGTGCACATTAAGGAGAAAGGTTCACCTGGGACCACCACCCGCTCACTGAAGGAGGCCACAATACGTGGGGTACCATCTAGAGGTAAAAAATGAAAGTTTATATATTATACAGTTATGGCATGCATATTCTATGTTTGTCTCCTCACCTTCCAGCAGGATAATGGAAAAGTCCTGGGCGGTTTGGCCCTTGCGAGTAGCAAAACACTGATACGCGCCTGAATGTCTTTTCTGAGCAGCAGAAATAAAGAGGGTCTCATTGTGAGCCCCCTGAATAGAAAAGTGCTGATCAGGCAGGACAGGTTCTGTGTTTCTGTACCACGAGACAGTGTAGTGAGGTGAACCCTGGACCGCACAAGAGAGGATCACTGTGCTGCTAATTCCTGTCTTCAGGTTCTTGGGGGACAAGGTGACCCGCAGTGGCTCTATAGACATAAAAAAAAGTGAAAACAGTGTACAGTGGATAAAACAGTGTGGTATGTGCAGAAGAAAACCCAGACAAGAAAGACTGAAAGGGTAGCAAATGTCAGTAAGCAATAAAGCAGCTGGTGTTAAGTGCTGGAGGCTGCTGAATGTCTGTGTGTTGTGTGTGTCTATAGTGAGCATGAGTCTGTCAGTAGCAGAATGAATAAGAGCATGTGTGTAAGTGAGAAATTCACTTCCCCTGTCTGTCAGAGGATGTTTGTAGATCCTGCTGTGTGCCACTGGACAGTCCCTCTCTGTCCTGTCATCCTTAACCTACTCCAGGTAAAACGTCTCCTCTATCAGCTCTGACTATTATGAATTACTCTGTCCCTGTTTTTGTTCATGCTCTCTGCAAACACAGTGGCTCAGTTGTATGACCAGTGTTCTGCAGTGTCACTGTAGAATCACCTTGGCACTATTTGACACAGGCTGTCCTTGGAGATCAAGCTCATGTTCACCAGAAATGACAGTGAGTTTGTGTCAGGAGAAGTCACAGTCAGCAGAGCAAAAGAAGTGTGTACATTCTTCCTGTCTAGGGTTGTGAGGTGTTACATTATATCTCTATGCCATTATTATCACAACATGTATTTAGCCTTTTTTTTTATTGAGTTTATACATATTTGTACATTACACTAGAAATTGATTTTGTCTGCTCTCTGACAACCTTCTTATAATCTCCATCACATTGTCTCTGGTCATCGTTAGGAACTACTTACCTATAACATTGAGATGACCTGTCACCTCTTTGGAGCCAAAACTGTTGGTGACCTCACAGATGTAGTTGCCACTGTCTTCCAGCCTCAAGTCTGAAATGGTGAGGCCTGTGATGCGCCGTGTCCAGCGGGAATCTGCCGGTAATGGCCGCCCATCCTTTAGCCATCGTATGGTGGGGTTTGGATATCCGGATGCGATGCAGGGAAGCTCGACACTGTGCCCAATTTGCACCTCTCCAGATTGGAAGCTGTCAAGCACGGTTGGGGTGGACTCCGTAGGGTCTGGAACGGTATAGGGTATGTTATATTGTGATAATAGTAAAGTTGAGCTAAATGCTTTATTCATGGACTTCAGATTCCTGTTGTATGCAATATTTGAGGACTTATTCCCATTTAAAAAATATTCTTCATCATTCTAAAACCCAGACATTTATATTTAGTTAAATGTTGGTCCTACATTTGGTCTATTCAGTGGTACATGTAGAACTATTTGGTATAGACTTTAACATGAGGTGTGACCTACCCATAACAGAGAGTCTGGCTCCATTGCTCTGACGAGTCTCTCCACTGTACTTGTGCTTTGTGATGCAGCGGTAGGTGGACAGAGCATCTTCCTTTTGCACTTCTGAGATATACAGAGCGCCATATGAGGTCAGGAAGAAACGGTTACCTGAGGATAGACGAGAATAGGAGGGGAAAGAGCATGTTAGTTACTATATTTGGTTAACAAAAAGGCTGTATTTGCATGATGTGTTGTTCCCAGAGTTATGTGCAAACGCAGTAACACAATGATTTCAACCCTTTGTGAGATTTGAAATGTGCTTGTGCGTGTTGTGAAGATTTATCATAGGCTGAGTTTATACTTTTACCTAAACATTCATAGCTATTGTTTTAGTTTTATTGAATATGTATTCTCTGAGGACACACACTCAGATGATACTAAAAAGGCTCTTTTTGCTATGATGTCCTTTGGTAAACAGTATATTGCGTGTGAAAACTGCTGTCAAGTGAGGCATACTAGATGTACGCCCTCAAGAGTATACCAAGCACTATATCATCTTTATAAGGCTCACCTGAGGAATCGTGATAGTTACACTGATTTTCCAGAGTGCACAAATAAGGAGCTGAACATACAGTATATCTTTAGAAAAGTCCAAGCCTTGCACTTAACTGAATACATGGAAGCTTTTAATATACTTTCCACCATCCGTCCAGACACTTACACACAATGGAAGAAGACAGAGGAGGAGAAAGAGAGTTACTGTAGGAGTTAATAATTGATGTATCTGTGTGTGTTATGATAACAGCAGATTAGTGTCATTTTCCATTCACATCAGTGGTGCTGTGGCTGCCTCTGATTTCTCCCTGTGCCAGTAAAAGGGGCAGACAAGAGCTTAATAGAGGGGTAAAGGACCCGGAGAGTGTATTTCTGTGTTTGATTCTTTCTGCTTTTCTGAATCTTTTTGTTATCTCCGACCCCAAAGGGTTATCTGACACACTGCACAATGGGTTTGCTGTTGACATTTGCAGCCTGTTTGGTTATGTGAATGCTATTGCTTCCTATTTGCTGTACATGGTGTTTCAATGACTTTTTACAATGTTGTCACCTGGTTCACAGGGCTAAGCAATACATAGGTCAGTAACAGTGCAGGTGGGTTGTGTATTCTTAAATAAAATATGACATTGTTGACTTCTCTCAAACTATTACGCATGCAACTTTGCAATACATATGATACTTTTACAGTTGATTTATGCAGTCTATTACAGATACTGACACACATGATTTTGCCTACATACCAACTGCCCATTGCTTGTCTTTGGCCATAACAGACAAATCTGTCTTATTGTTATGCAGAAATACTATGCAAATATTAGCACCACACCCCAGCAGTTTCACTCTCATTCACTCAGCTCTGACATTTTCTCTTGTTTGGGTGTGTATGGGTGACACAGCAAAACTCTAACCTGACTAAATATAGACAATTTTATGATTTTCCTGTAATTCTTATTCATTGCCATGGCCATTCTAAAAAGCCAGTAAACATCACATCAAAATACAATCATAAAACAGCCTTCTTCAATGTCCACAGTGGGATAAAATACACCTGAACTTTATAACAAATGTCATTAACATTTACTGTAGCATATAAAAATCTCCAAACATTTTCACATCATATACAAATAAGGGTGCACATGTTAAAGTTCATACGCAGATGTTGTTATGCGAGTCAGACTGTTGTGTTGAGTGCTAGGCGACGCAGGCTGTAATTTTCAAGCCTGCCCTTTGTTCCAACCTGGGTATTAAGCCTTACAGGATAATATGCACTTGGTGAGTAGAACCCTGTATAACACAGTAGTACACCCTGTCACAACATGCCTGCGGAGAGAACGACAGACCAGGGGGGGCACAGGGGGGTGCAGGCGGGGTGGAGGAAATTCAGCGGATGGTTAAGAATGGAGAGAAAACTGACACTGCAGTTACTGTGAACAAAAACAGGGAATTTTCTTTCTTACTAAATTAAACTGTAGATGTCACTTGAATCATTCCAAGTAAGTAGAGCACAAATCAAACCAACTAAATAGGAGGTGATTAAGTTTTTGATGATTTTATTTAAACTATTTTAATAGGTTCGACAATACAGAACAATAAAAGCACTCACTTTAATGTGTCTAAACTGATATTTACATTTTTGGGTAATGCTTTCTAGTGAGGCGCCTGTACACAGAAGCAGCAGTGAGGGTGCAGTGGCGAAGGAGAGGGGAGTGACCCTACAGGGAGTGGGCCGGCAGATGGAAATTGATGGAGGGAGAGCTGGGCAGATAAAGAGGAACGTGCCATTGGGAGCTGCAGAGTGAGAGGGATGAGGGGCCTGCAGGCCTGAAAAGCACACATGGGCAAAAACAATTCGTCTACATCCCTCCGTCTTGCTTTCCTTCCTCTCTCTTCCCCCCTCGCAAGCATCTCCTTGTGGGAGAGGAGATCAATTCTCGTCTAGTCTGCCTACGCCTCCAGGAGTTTGTTGTTGTTGTTGAGTGTGTGTATGTGCTCTACTGTCCGGTATCTTCCTTACTGTGGGAGGCTGCAAACATATTTTGAAGGTCTGCTCCACACCTCAGGGAGGCGCAAAATAGCCCTACTTCCTCCTGATTTCCTGACCCCTTCTTCCACTTGTTTTGCTCTTTTCTTTTGGAGCTGCATGACATCTCTTCAAGATGCCCGGCGTTTCTACCTACAGTCTCCCCTCTGCCCTCTACTTCTTTCTATCTGTCTTTTCTCTGCCTTCTCCACGGCACGGCTCTTCTATCTCTTTCAGGGGGGTCTGTAAGTAATGGAATCAGTTCAGCTGATCTGCCTGAGGCACAGAGTCAAGCCTAGTGCAAAGCCAAGCTGCTGTTGAATGTGTGCGTATGCCAGAGATCCCACAGACGGACACATACATGCAAATAACAAGCCCGCGACAGGCTAAGGGGAAGAGACACAATGAAAAGCGGATTAAGGAGCCCTGGAGCATCACTCGTCTCCCCCCAAAGGCCCCTCCTGAGAGAGGGCTCCCCATGTTTCAGAGACATACAGGGAAGGGGTGAAGGGGTGAAGGGGAGGGGCAAAGATGGAAATGAAGCCAAATGCAGGAAAATTCACTGCATATATCTTCACATAGAAGCATGTACAGATCCCACTTCTCTCACATTACCATCAAATCAAGACAGCAAGAGGAACAACACGATGAACAATAATAAAAATGGAGACTTTATACTTATACTTATTCTTGTATAGTCAAAAACAGGAAAAGACAGACAAAGAAACAGTAAAAACCTACTCATATTTTGGGAAACAACGTAACCGTAGGGGTTTGTTCTTGCTGCCATGCAAATGAAGGCGGCGCTGCAGCAATGCTAACTAACAGCAATTCACACTGTTGGACTCATCACTTATTAATGCTCTACGGCTCCCCCTCCCTCCCATCTCTCTCTCATTTCCCTCTCTCTCACCCTCACCATGATCGCTCGTTTTTGTTCGCTCTCTCGCTCGCTGTTGCTAGGGTCCGTGCACTCACGTGATAACAGCTGGGTAGGGGGCGCTGCGGCGGCATACGGCGACATGTGCGAGCAGGTGCGCGTTTCATGTGATTTTGGCACGCATGGCCATGTGTGTGCCTGCGTCAGAGTACCCTTCATTAGAGGTAAAACAGAATCAGCCATTTAAATGAAGGCGATGGAGATGTGAGGAGGGAGCAGCAGACTGCCGACGTAATTGATTTGCATAAGGCCGGGGCGAAACGGGGGCTCTAAAACATTGCAGATTGGTTCAAAAATATAGATTTTACTGTTTTTTAGGAATGTATATTTGACTGTGTTTTAGCTTGTAGTAAATGCCAAAAAAGTCGCTTTAATGCATGTTATTCACACATTTAGCATCACACATTGTGTCTCACGGTATACTGTCTCAGCATGCTTCCTCCCACTGTCTCACAATCCACGTTTGGTGAGCAGACAGTGGAGGACACCTACACTTTTACTTCAAATATTTCTGCACAATATTAAGACACTATCCACTTGTTTTGGTCTTTTATTTTTCATCACAGTGTAGATACACAATTGACAATTGAAAACAACTTCATTGATGTTTAAGTTAAAAGACTAACGGAGAGCCTCAGTTATTGCCATGAAGTGAGAGAGAGAAAAACACAAGACTTGCAGCAACATAATTATCCACCTACTTTTGTGTCGCTTTACATGTACATATAATATACTGTTATTCTCAAGGATTTGCTTAAAGAGGACATATTATGTACTCAAAGTAACTCCTATCTCTAGCCACAGCTCTGTACTTACTTATGATTATACAAACAATTCAGGCTCCAGGTCCATATGTGTAAGGTTCAAAAATGTGTCGCATTGCCCCTTTTCAAAAAAAACCCCAAAAGAAAACACGTCATTTAATATTTGCTGCTAGTTACAGTGAAAGAATCAATTCTGCGGTTTTGATGACGAAGTCAATAGACCTGTTTCTATTATTAAGCTATTTTAGATCAATATTACAGTTTACAATGAACAAAATGTAAATAATACCTGGACAGGGGCCTGATGTTCAAAGTTATACACATTTTAAGATGAATAACTGAACATTCACACTACAGATGAAATTTTAAGCACCAAGGACAGCTACTGAGTTCCCCTCTATTAATCCTGTGTACAACTGACCACCAGGTAAGAAGCCATGTAAAATTCAGCTCTACATTGCAAAATAAATAAGAGGTTACAAAAGGATCTGGTCCCTCCCCCCAAATTTGTTTAGTAATTACCATGTGCCCATTATGCTTTTCAAGGAGGACTTAGGAAATCCTATTAAAGCTATATCATTTCAACCGCTCCATATCTACCCATGCTCCTTGCGTCAAATATGTAGACACGGCTACGCGCGCATAGAGACACTTCATAAAACACCGCCGTGAGTCCATTCAAGCTCAACATGTAATTAACAGCGTCACTCCAGCTCTACGCATGCATGCGTGTGAGTGTGCGCGTGTGAGAGGGTGGGCAAAGGTGAAGGATAATAAAGATTGGATTCTAATAAAATGTCCTCATCCCCCCTAAATCCCCCCTTGCCCTCTTCGTCTACCTGCCATATTAACACCCCCATTACAAGGGCAGATGAATGAAAATGAACAG